CCTGTTGGAAGCTGCACCCACCCACCTGTTGGAAGCTGCACCCACCCCCCTGTTGGAAGCTGCACCCACCCACCTGTTGTCAGAGCCGGGTCTAATCTTGGCCACAGTGGAAGCAGCCACAGGCAGACCCGGACCTGAGCCCAGGGTCACATTCCCCAGGGTGGCCCGACCGATGGTGCTGTCCAGAGACCTGCTGAGGAAACTGGGGAAGGCTTCATCCTCCAGCCTGTACGAACTGTCCGCCATGTCTGAACGAGGGGCAGGACTGGCTCAGGTCAAGACCATGACCTGTTGGAGGGAGAAAAAATAAAATGCGAGTTCAAGCACAACTGTGAGCAGCAATGTTTGAAGAGTTTTGTATCATCCATTCCCGTTTTCTTTGTGTGTGCCACCGTGCAGGCACGTGGACCTGTCAGCTCTTAAACCGAGACCTGGTCCAGTTAGCAACAGTTCACTGTAACTTAGCTTGTTGCTAAAAACAAGAGGACTTGGTCAAACTTGTCCGCACCCCTCAAACTTGATCTTCTTTCGACGGTTGAGCTTCACAAAACGACAACTTCCAGGCAGCATTTAAACATTCACAAAGTGATGCACCGACCCGTTAAATAACTTTCAGTTTCTGATCATGAGTGATCAAAATGTTGACGTTCATTAATCAACTCACGCTCACACTGCAGGCGCGGGCCGACATGAAGCGTTCTTCTACAGCTCAAGTTGAGTCTTTAAAACTACCTCAAACACGCTGTAATGTTTATCTACGCTCCAAATGTTACGTCCCAACGTTCATGCTTATCGTTATTAAAAAAAAAGGAGTTTCAACCAAACTGTGGAAGTTGGTTCTAAAAGATCAGCGCCCAGATTCACAGGAAGCCCGCGTGAGCGTCATATTATACGGGCGGGGCCTAAAGCGAATGAATAGTCTGATTGGCCAAAAATTACAGGAGGCGGAGCAAATAATAACTCGTGATTGGTCAGGATTTGTGTCAGTCTTCAGTTGCTCGGTCCGTTTTGGGAAATTAACCCGTTAATCTGATTTCTAGCTGTAAAATTAAAGAAAAGGAGATGCCTATTTTAGAATAAACACTGAAAAAAACCCATTAATGGAAATAAAAGTAACACATTTATTAACAGTGGATTTAAAAAGAGATCTTGGTTAAAGACTTTTTTTTTTTACTCGAGCCTAAAAAGACAAGTTACAAGCCAAGTGTCATGTGAAGCAGCTGTTAGTGCCTTCATTAAGACAGCCTTGTGGAAAAAGAACTGACAATTCACACAATGTCTGTTCATTTGTTTATTACACAAAATAAACAATCACCAAATTTAAAAAAAATTCTCAAGTAGCACAAGAGTCATGTGACATTCACAAAACAGCCTTAGACTGAGGATTCATCGTCTTGCTCAGCGACACTTCAGCAGGGCAGCTGGTCACACAAAGCTGAGCCCCACACAGCAGCTGACGGAGTTTCTCTGCAAAACCACAAACATCTGGGATGCAAGAACCAGGATCAAGATGGAAAAACTGGAATTCATTTCTGATGTCTGCACGATGAATCATCTCATATTTCCACTGAGTTGTCTCACATGCTGCTCAGTTACTCGTCATGCCCCTTTTTTACTTTTACAAAAAGGAACTTGTTTAAAATAATCTTATTTCCACAATCCTAAATAAATTCCCCATTTCCAAGCTGACATTTTCAGATGGCCTCAGAAACAAGAAGTGGATGTAACTGAACTTAAATCTAAAAACTAGACTAAAAAAATGATAAAAAATGTCTCATTTTTACTTGAATTCTGTTTTAAATTTATACAAAACACAGGTTTTATTGGTAGTTATTAAAAGACTGAAGTGATTTTTTTTACTTAATAACTATTGTTGGAAAAAAGATTCACAACCCCTGAACTCTCCGTTTGTCACATAACCAAGTTTAGGATAAGGTTTTATAACCTGATTTAAAAGTCTCAATAACTTTATCCCTGATCTGTCTGGTGTCTTCCTTGGTCTTCATGATTCTGTTTGACCACTAAAAATCTTTGGAGCCTCTTGAGATTTCACAAAACGGCGTTATTTACACAGATTAAATTACACACTGGTTGACTGTTTTTGTTTTTAATAGGTCTGGAGACAAACAGGATTTGAGTTCAGGACCTCAGAATAAAGGAGGCTGAATACAAACGTATGCTACGCTTTTCACGTTCATTTGTTATATATATACATATGTATATATATATAGATAGATATCCTTTCCCTTCATAAATAATGGTTGAATGAATATGATGTGCTAATTTTTGTTCTCATACATCAAATCCCAGTAAAATACTTTGTGGATAGCACGGTGGTGCAGTTGGTAGACCTGCCACCTCTCAGCTAGCAGGTTGCCCCGGTTCAAATCCCAGCCTGGGCCTTTCTGGGTGGAGTTTGCATGATCTTGCTGTGCTGTGGGTTTACTCCAGGTACTCCAGTTTCCTCCCACAGACCAAAAACATGCATGTTAGACTGATTGGTAACTCTAAATTGTCTCTAGGTGTGAGTGAGAGAGTGAATGGTTGTTTGTCTCATTTGTCTCTGTGTCTCTGTGATGGACTGGAGACCTGTCCAGGGTGTCCCCCACCTCTCGCACAGTGACTCCTGGACATGGACACCAGTGACTTCCACAACCCGAAAAGGAAGAAGCGGGTAAAGATGATGGACGAATGGATGGATCCTAATCTTTGAACAGCCCAAGCTCTGTTCTGTCTTTCTATAAACGCAGAGGTCAGCATAACTGTGAACCTACCGAGACATGGCCGCCCACTTAAACCAACAGACTGAGCCAGGAGAGCATTAATGTGAGAAGCAGCTCCTGGTATAACACATAAAATTACAGCTGCATCCTTTGAAGTCTGTATTTACAACGTGACGAAATGTGCAAAAGTTCAAGGGTTATGAATATTTTTCCAAGACGCTGTATCCTTTACCTTTGTCCAATTAAAATACACACAGAAAGAAAAAAACATGTCTAAAATCATTGCTCTTCAGCTTCTGGCAAGGACAGCAGAACTCTAGAGGAGCTTCTGTGGGAAAGAGTCTGCTGCTGAGGCTGAGTAAGAGGCTCAGCATCACAGTGCTCTATGAGGGAGGAGGGAGGGAGCAGGTGGCCGTACCTGCTCCCTGCTCTGGGAGGATCCAGGGGTGGGAAGAAATACCTAGAGCAACAAGAGGTAAACAAAAAAAAGAAGGGGGAGTGGGGGTGACAATAAGAACAACAATAAAAGAGAAAGGGGAAAGAAGCACAACAAAAATGTAAAAAAGGGAAACACATAAAAGGAAGTAGAAATGAAAAATTAAAAGGAGGAACGATGCATGTACACTTTAGAAACAAAAGAAATATAGCAAGTAGGGTGCAACAGTGATTTATTTATCAAAGGTGTACGTGTAGCCAGGTTATCTGACTCCAGTGAAGCTCTGTCACATGACACAAAACAAAACGGAGGGAGTCAAGTCCATGCACGCCGTCTCCATGCCAACAAAACTTTAATCAGCGATGACCAAGTACTCAGACATAAAATGTGATAAAAACTGTTTTAGGTTTCAAACAAGTTGTGAAACAGGTAAATGGTTGAAGTACAAGTACATTAGTAATATGCAGGACTCTGGTTTATCTTTGGAGAGGTCAGCTGCCGCAGGGGAGGAGCAAACGAAGCTCTTTTGGCAATCCTGCATGCAACAAGCAATAAAATAAGAAATTAAGTCCAACACACACACTTTTTGTTGACAGGTCACTGAAATGCTCGAGGGAAAACAAGTGTCTACAACAGATCAAACAATCGTACAATTAAAGAAGCTAATCTGAGAAACAACGTCACACAGCACATGGGTTTTTGTTACAAAGGTTAGACAACATGAGCATTCAGACAGGAACAGAGTCAAGTGGAGGCTGTGTTACATCTAAGGTTGTTAAAGTGAACACAAATACAGCCATCGCAGGCTAAAAACTCATTTCATCCAAATTATGTTTCCTGGCACTTTTCATCCCGGCTTCATTTCATGCCAAATGGACTGATCCATCTTATTTACCGTATTTTACAGCGTATAAGTCACAGTGGTTTTTATGTATTTATATAAATTAGCATTCCTGCAACGTATACAGCGAAGCGACGTATTTATATTTTTTTCCCATATTTATAAATCAATTTTTGGCTGAGATCTGATGATGTCATTCATTCTGACATGGAAAATATTGAACACTACCATTTTCATTTCAGCCACTAGAGGGCCCTCGACCAAAATGGCAAGCCAAGTGTGTCTTTAATAGGTAAAGGTGGCTGTTAACGAGACACTTGGCTTGCCATAGCGCCACCTTTGTCTCGCTCCCGAACTCCTGGAGCAAACATCAAATCAGCTGCATGTTGCTGCACCACCCAGGAGAAATGCAGCTGACTGGACCATTAACGTGCATTTATTAAGGAAAGGTTCAACTGAGACACACCTTTGCTATAATGTCAAGCAAACAAATAACTGTTTTGACGTGTTAATCTTGTTAAATTCTTGTTCAAAGTCTTCCCGTGCATGGCCGCCATCTGGCAGCCCAACACTGGCACACGTTTCCAGGTCGTCAGCGGTGAAGCATAATAGATGCGACGTACACGGCAAAGTGGCGTATTTATGGATTTTTTTCACTTTATCAGACATATTTGGACGGATGCGACTTATAGGGCGGTGCGACATGCACGGTGGAAAATACGGTAATTCATTTTAAACATGATTTTATTGAGATTATGGCAAAACCATAAATGCTCATTTTCCAACAAACAAGTAGAAATAAAATTTAAAGTTAAATTTTTAAGTTTTGTTTAGCATCCATAAGTCTTAATGAAATAAGACATATTTGATTGCTTATAAATCTAACGTTTATGAAGCTAATTTCTTAACATTTGAAGCTAAATATGTTGGTTTTGAAAATGGCTGTATTAATGTCCCACAGTCAGAGTTTACAGGTGTTAATGAGGCTGATTTAAGTTTTCCTCCACTTGGCAAAGAGTTTGGCGGAGCTCGCTCGAGGAGGATAGATTCTTAAGAGAAAAATGAGAAGAGCTTTAAATAAATTTTATTGCTCATCTCGAACTGAAAATTGTCAGATTTGTTGAGATGGTTTGGATACAAACATTCGCATGGCGAGGCCACCAAACAAAAATGATCAAATCAATTAACGGTTGCATATCAAACTCGTATAAAACAAATTTACTTTAAACAGCTGGCCCTTAAACTAGAGATACAAAGTGGAAACACGACACCACTCTTTCGGCATGCATGAATCCAAATCAGGAAGTGACCAGCTCCACACAACCCGTTAGCTGGATGCCAGAAGCCAAGCTCTTTGCATCGGGGCAGCACGAGGTCAGTGCGAGTCCAGGAGGTGTGTCAGTGGGCAGCTGCACTCCCAGTCACTGTGAGGCTTAGTAAAGTTGTCAGTTCTGACTGGAGTCTTGGACTGGGTGAGTGGCGTCAGACACACGACACCACCTACCTTCCTGCTGACATCCCATTCAGGGCATTCTGGGAGGTCTGGAGGGAGGAGCCCACCATGGTGCTCATGGCTGTGGGTTGACCAGATGAGCCTGTCAGCGGGCTGCCGTCCCCCTTCAGGATGCCTGTGCACTTCCAGTTGTCCATGTAGTTAGCTGCACAGACAGAAGGGGACATCAACGTTCAGCGCCGTCATAAGAACAAAAGGTTTCATCCTGGGCAGCAAACACGATCAACGCATCGTCTTTTACCGACTCAGTGCATCCTAGTGATTTTATTTATTTAAAACGTTACATCCAGTGTGATCAAACAGGATTATTTAACTGTGGTCCACCACCATAAGACGAGGGAGCACAATAATGTTTTTGCTGTGAGAGCATGTGTTCATGTCTGTTACCAAAACGCCTCATGAATCAATGAAACTTGCAGGAAGTGCAGCATTTCCAGACCTTTTTCACATACTTTGAGCACCGCGGCTTTTACTATACTGTGGCCAATTTATTTATTTATTTTTGGACAGGCTAACAAGCTTCATGCCGCCAAAACATTTAGCCTCAGCACTAGGCCTGTCGCGATAAACAATAAATCAATTAATCACGTGATGGATGAAATTATCAACCTCGTTTTCATTTGTCGGCTTGATCGTTTCTTCATGTCTCTCTTTCTACTGAAGACACTGGATGACAAAAAGCTCAACTCTGGTGCTCTTCACTGACCCCTCCCTTTCTCTTTAAAATCAGTTTTAACGATCCAAAATCACATTTGTGGATCGTTAAAAGCAGCTAAGCTGAGAAGCTAAGCTAACAGGCCGACCCCAGGAATAAACCTCCGTCTTGTCGAAGCTCCAAAATTCACGGTTGAAACCCGTGCCTTCGTGTAAAAAGTTGTTTTTCTCTGCAAAAAGAAGCTGAGAACTTGTTTACTGATTTTTTATTAAAAGCTTTGTGTGAAAAACGCTAAAAAGCTTAAATCACCAACGAGCTCCTCTTAAGAGCTCCGCCATGTCAGCCCATGTCACGTCAAGGGGCCTCCCTCACATTTTTCTTAAAGAGACACGCTGCCCAACGATCCATCCTTTGGTTCAAACAGTCTTACACTGCCATCAGGTGGTTAGAAAAGGTACTACACTCCAAAAAATCAACACTTCTAAAATGTGACAATTAATTATTGTTAAATTTCAAACAATATTATTGTTTATCGCAATAATTTCTGAGACAATTAATCGCCCAGCAAAATTTGTTATCGTGACAGGCCTACTCGTCACACCCGGGTGCCCAGCTGCCCAGTACACGTCTCTCTTGGGGGGTGGGCCCTCGTGACTCAATGAGACTACCTGTATAAATAAAGGTTAAAAAAATCTGACCAATGAAATACCGAACAGGTCACAGTGGATCAATGAAACAGGGAGGGCAGGAGAGAATGGTGAGTGGGGTGGGGGAGTCCCCCCTCCCTGCATGCACTGCTGCCAGTGGATCCTGACGGTGGAGCAGGAGGACAGCACAAACTTGTGCAGCAGTAATATGAAGGTAGGGATCAGTGACTTCCTGGTAGGCTACTGTATTTTATTTTATTTTTTTAATCAGCCATGTTACTGACACTGTTCAGGAAAAAAAAAAAAAACATTTACTGTACATATTTGTGTATGTTACCAGTACATTTAATTCAAAGTTACAAAAAAAATTCTATGTAAATACCTCATGTTACAACGCGGACACCCGCGACTTATACATGTACAAAATTATTATTATTATTTAGTGGGTGCGCTCAATAGTCTGTAAATTCCAGTAATCACTGGATATAAGCCTGTAACTTGTTAACTTTTGGAGTCAACTCAGTTCAAGATGTCTGCCACACTGACCTGACTGACCTTAGAAAACTAAAATTACTGTAACTCAGTCAAATTTACAGATAATGGCCTTATACTTGGTGTGGTAGCTGTTGACACTGACCCCCAACACATATCTGAACACATATTTGTTGAAATCAGGTCTCTTGTAAATGAGTCAAGGCTCCATGGGATTTACCTGTTAAATAAAGGTTGAATGAAAAAATATACATATTGAGCTAAAATTGTATGCAGTCGTAGCTAAAAGTCATTCACAACAAATATTTTGTGAGCAACGACTCGCAATATCGCATGAGACGATGCATAATGTTTCCATGGTTCGACCAAAACAGCTAGTGTCAATTATTTCTCAACATTAAAAGTTTAAAACTCAGGCATGAACAGCAGAAGCATTCGTCCAGTGAACGCCTCTATTTTCCACAACGTGGTACCATAAAGAACCGTTTGCATGTATAAAAAGTGCAGATGATGATAAAAACACAGTCGTTGCTGCTCTCCTCGCCTGTTTGGATCGTTTCAATCCTCTGTGTGTGTTGGCGCCTGTACATTTACCAAAGTGCAGAAAGTGACAAGCTGAAGGCACAACTTCACTTTGACTCCACTGCCTCCTAGTGGCAGCACTGAGTCATTCACCACACAATTATTAATAATAATATCCATCTAGTACTCTTTTTAACAAACAGTACAGTCAATAATGTGAAGCTATGTACTAATGTTTAAACTCAATAATAGTACTCGTCATTTTCACTGGTGATTCTGTAACAAAAGTAAAAGAGTGGCACTTTTCATCCTATACATGGGGAGTCCAATCCTGGACCTGAAGGGCCACCACCCTGCATGGTTTAGAAGTTTCTCTGCTTCAACACACCTGCCTTGACTCAGTGGGTGATTAGCAGGCTTCTGCAGGACATAAGAGATATCTGAACCGTTGATCCAGGTGTGTTGAAGCTGGACAGAGGCCCTTGAGGACAACGAGTGGACACCCGACACGTTATTTATTACATGTCAGATGTAAAAAAGATTGATAGTAAAAATATTAGACATGCTAAATGCTGTTCTTTGCCACTTTGTTCATGTTCTACAAACCACATTTGTTGAATAAATATTGTAGAATGTTAAACGTCTGTATTCTGATAATTTCACGTTCGAGTGCTTTTAATGGTTTGCTTTGACCATGTGTTCATCAGTTTCAGTGAAGTTTGAAACTAATGTAAAATATGATGCGGGCCACACAAAGAACATGTGGAAAAATGTACATTTTAACTTTGTTACATTAGTAGTTCCTTAATTGGTCTAAAGACAGAAAAACAAGAACTAGTGACTGCTCACAGACGATTACATGAATTACTGCTCTTACTAAGAGGCTTATGGCAAGAATTATTTGATACATAAAACTACATTGGGTTGACTCCAACAGATAATTAAGTGTAGATGTACATCAGATGATTACGGTCTCAAAGCTTCATTAAAACCAATCCAGTGGTTCCCAAGATATTTTGCTAACAGCCAGATGGCAAAGTTTTTAAAAGCAGACCTCATGCAGTCAGAGCATGTGTAGGGGATGACTTCCAACAATTTTGAGCTCATCTGTGGAACTGGCTGAGTTACAGCCATGTGTACCGTATTTTTCCACTGTATAAGTCGCTGGTTTTTGCATAAATCAGCGCCTGCGACGCATGCCTGCGACGCATGCCTGCGACGCATGCCTGCGACGCAGGCCATACAGCGAAGCAGGCCATACAGCGAAGCGACGCATACAGCGAAGCGACGCATACAGCGAAGCGACGCATACAGCGAAGCGACGCATACAGCGAAGCGACGTGTTTATGTTTTTTCCCATATTCATAACTCAATTTTTGGCTGCGATCTGACGATTTCATTCATTCTGACATGGAAAATATTGAACACTACCATTTTCAGCCACTAGAGGGCGCTCGACTAATATGGCAAGCCAAGTGTCTCATTAATAGGTACAAATGGTTATTAATGAGACACTTGGTTTGCCATACCAAGCCACCTTCGTCTCGCTCCAGAGCTCCTGGAGCAAACGACAGATCAGCTGCATTTTGCTGCACCACCCAGGAGAAATGCAGCTGATCTGATCATCAAAGTGCTGTTAAGGAAACGGGTAACACTTTACAATAAGTACACAAATTTTGATTAACTACTGGGGAACGCCTCAGGAGCTAATGGGTACTTAACCAGTACTTACTGGGGAACACACAGCCAAGCGTTATTAGGGGACTACTGGTTTGTTACCCCAGAAACAGAGGAGAAAGTCTCCATGTGGGTTCTGAATAAACTCTGCACCAGTGAGGTCAGAAGAAGAATCAGAATAAGCTTCATTATAATTGCACCGAGATACAACGAGAACATGGGTCGTAATGGTCAAAAACCAGTTTCCTAGTGGTTACTGACTTTACTGGAGTTTCTCTTTTGTAAACATATTGATGAAAGACATGATCAGTTTCATAATCTTGTACTGGTGTCATCTTAACTATGTCTGATTATCAAACCATTGCCTGGCTATTTGTTCACTGATGTGGTGAAGCATCATACCAAGCTCTTACTGAGGAACCTGTCATTACTTAATCAGTACCTGACCATTACCTACTGGTTTGTTCCTGATTCGTTCCTGAGGCGTTCCCTAGTAGTTAATCTTGTTTTGTGTACCTTATTGTAAAGTGTTACAAGGAAAAGTTCAACTGAAACACAACTTTACTATAACTTCGAGCAAACAAATAATTGTTTTTAGGTGTCAATCTTGTTAAATTCTTGTTAAAGTCCTCCCGTGCACGCTGCCGTCACGTGACACATCAGCGACACATAATAGATGGGACGTATTTATGGTTTTTTCCACTTTATTCGACATATTTGTACTGATGCGACTTATATGGTGGTGCGACGTGTACGGTGGAAAGTACGGTAGTTTGTTTTGTTGTGTCTGCCATCACAACAGCTGTTGACTTCAACAGTCAGTCTGGTTGTAAATGTCTATGCAATGATCATTTCCTGAAAGTTATGAAAATTCACCCACTGATCCATCAGAAAAGTTTAAGATAAACACACACATGGGCAAAACACGCTTTGCTGGCAAGCAATAACAAAAGTAACATGCAACACAAAACCATGTCAAAGTGCAGCTGCAACGAGAACAAAGAAAACACGTGACGATCCACAACAACAACAGCCTCCAACCTTTCCACAGCCGTACACAGCCATCATCCCCAGAGGAAGCCAGCAGGGTGCTGGTGATATTCCAGCTCACGCGCCACACCTGGGAGTTATGGTGGTCAAACTGGGCAACAATCTGCACCTCAAACTTGGTTGGTCCTGTAGTGGTGCTCTCTTTCCTGCCACAAAGATCCAGAAAAACCAGTTTGATCTCCCATTTCAGGTCATCTGACGTTAGGGAGTGAAAACGTTTGGGCTAACGTCTACATGAAATGCAGGATTTCAAAGATTTCACTGCGTTTTCAAATAAAAACAATAATTATGGAGATGGGAAACAATAAAGATGGCACCTCAGAGGAACAAGCTTAAATATCCGGACATCTTTTGTTGCGATGGCGAGCACATGGAAAGATCGTCCCAAGTTCGGAGCAAACGCGATGTCATGGACTGCGTCGGTGACCGTCATCAGTGTCTCTGCTTTACTGTACTTCCTTTGAAACACAAGAGAAACAAAAAGAAGAAAACACTTTACATCGTAAAACTCCTGGATTGCATGAGCTCCACTCACAACGACACCTACCGCGTGTTTTCATTGTACTCGTAGATCTGGACCTTCCCTCCGTACGTTACGTTGCTGTCATCACTTCCTACTGCAAACATTGGAGGGTGAGCACGAGAGCTGGGGACACGAAGAAGACAAAACATTACACAGACGTGAATTAAAAAACAGCTATGTTTACCTTGTGTTCAAGTCTGGAAACTGATTTTTGTAAATAAATAAAATAAAGCTAGATGTGGCTAACACACAAGAAGCACCACTAAACTTTTTAACCAGCACTGACGGTTTCCTCACGCTGAAACACCCCCACCCCCCGAACCCCACCCTGCTCAAACACTGTGGGTTGTCGGTACAAACAGCGGGCAGCTCAGACGTGTCTCCGTCTCTTCCACCCGGCAACAAAAATCACAGACAAGAGGAGCACCCTGCCATGACACGTTATCTAGGAGGAAACACTGACAGATGCTTCTTCCTTTTAGTCACTGGTGTCCATATTGTGAGAGAGGCGGGGGACACCTAAATCTCTGATTTAATTGTCTCCAACTCCCACAACCCCCGAGTTCTCTTCTCCACCCTGAACTCAGTTCTACACCTCAGTGAGCCTTCACCTCTGGAAGCCTCAACTGAGCTGTGTGAAAACTTCCTCCATTTCTTTTTAGAAAAAGTGGCAAACACCCGGGCACTCATTTCTCCACCAGCTCATGATCTGTCCATCCCATCTCAGTGTGTGGCTGTGTTTGACCACTTTGAGCCCATCTCTCTGTCCTCTCTGGAGCAGGTAATGTGCAGCATGAAACCATCTGGTTCCCCCTTTGATGTGGTCCCCCCTCGACTGCTAAAGGAAGTTTTTCCTACCCTGGGTCCTTTTATCCTCGCTATTCTGAATAGCAGTTTATCCTCAGGTGTGGTGCCAAAGACTTTTAAACATGCTGCTGTCCAGCCCCTCCTGAAAAAACCTAACCTTGACCCCTCAGTCATGTCCAACTTCCGGCCTGTCTCCAGACTCCCATTCACCTCTAAACTACTGGAAAAAATTGTGGAGTCTCAGTTGAAACAGTTTTTGGGGGATCACACTATCCTAGAGTTATTCCAATCTGGCTTCAAATCTCTCCATAGCACTGAAACTGCTCTACTGAAGGTTTTTAACGACATTTTCATTTCCACAGACGCAGGTGATTCTGTGCTGTTGGTCCTATTGGACCTGACATCTGCTTTTGACACCATCGACCACAAGATCCTCATTTCTAGACTGGAGCAGTGGGTGGGCATCATAGGGTCAGCCCTTAAATGGTTTGGGTCCTACCTATCTGACAGAACCTTCTGTGTCAATATCAAAGATTCTAGTTCGGCATCGACAGCGCTCCAGTGGGGGGTACCGCAGGGGTCCATCCTCGGTCCCCTTCTCTTTTCTTTATACCTGCTGCCACTAGGTGCTATCTTCCGCAAACACGACATACCCTTTCATTTCTACGCCGATGATTGCCAAATTTACTTCCCCCTGAGGCACAGAGGCACACGCTCTATTCAGCCTCTTCTTGACTGCCTGGCTGACATCCAGGACTGGATGGCTTTAAACTTCTTAAGCTTCAATGAGAAGAAGTCTGAAGTCATGCTGTTCCATCCCAGTGGCTCACTCATGAACCATGACATTGACCTTTTCTCTCTAGCCCCGCTAGAGAAACAAAAGGTGACTAATCTGGGGGTGATAATGGACCCGTCCTTAAAACTCAACAGTCACGTAAACATGATGGTCAAATCCTGTTTTTTTCAGCTGAGACGGCTGTCTAAGCTGAAGCCTATACTCTCCAAAAAGAACCTTGAGACAGTGATCCACGCCTTCATAACATCTAGGCTTGATTACTGCAATTCACTTCTGTTTGGAATCAGTCAGTCCTCCATTGCTCATCTACAACTGGTCCAAAATGCTGCAGCCCGATTTTTAACTGGTACAGGCTATAGAGAGCACATCACGCCAGTTTTGGCCTCCCTGCACTGGCTACCCATTCACCTTCGGATCCATTTCAAAATTCTCATGTATGTTTTTAAATCACTGAACAGTTCCGCCCCATCCTATCTCACTGACCTTCTGCAGCCATATGTCCCACCGCGCTCTCTGAGGTCAGCAGACCAGATGCTTCTCTCAGTCCCAGAAACCCGTCGTAAGCTCAGAGGTGACAGGGCTTTCTCTGTTGCAGGTCCACGACTGTGGAATGAGTTGCCACTGAGTGTCCGGCAGGCTCCCACACTCTCAGTCTTTAAGTCTCGCTTGAAGACCCACTTCTATTCGCTTGCCTTTAACACGGTGTGATTTGTTTTGGTCCGGTCTGTTCTCTACTCTGTTGGCCATTTTAGTTAGCTCCTGCTGCTATTTGTATCTGTATTTCTATTTTATGTTTTCCTGTCTGCTGTGCATGGTTGTGTTCTTTTGTACAGCACTTTGGTTGGCCTTGTTGCTGTTTTAAGTGCTATATAAATAAATTGGTATGGTATGGTATGGTATGGTAGGTCTCCAGTCCATCACAGGGACACATAGACAAACAAGACAATCAACCATTCACTCTCTCACTCACACCTAGAGACAATTTTAGAGTCACCAATCAGTCAAACATGCATGTTTGGGTCTGTGGGCGGAAACCCACACATGCACGGAGAGAACATGCAAACTCCACCCAGAAAGGCCCCTGGCATCGAATCCTGATTCGATCCGGCGACCAAGAGGCGGCAGCTCTACCAACTGAGCCACCGTGCTGCCCCACTTTGAGAAAAGTGAGCAGAAACGTAAAACACAAAAACTGTGAAACTGAAGCGACGAAAATTAAATTGGAGGTTTAATTTAAACTGTTCAGAATTGTAAGATTTAATGATGTCATCTGGACAAAAAGAAATACATTAAAAACTAGAAAAACACGACGCTGCTGCCTGAGAACATGCATTTCTGGTTTCAGACTTTTAATATAAATTTAAAAAACAGTTTTAATCAATTCAGTTCAGTTTATTTGTGCAGCACCAAGTTACAACAAAGTCGTCTCAGGACACTGAACAGAAACATTCATATATATATATATAAAAAAGCCAATTAGTAAAAGTATTTATTTAAGGAAACAGCAGATTGTGTTGAATCTTCACTACGTCACAGCCTCCCATACTGAACAAGAACAAAGGAGACAGTGGAAAGGAAAAAACTCTCTTCAACAGGAAGAAACCTCCAGCAGAACCAGGCTCAGGACATCTGCTTCAAACTATGGGTATTGTTTTGCCTTACAATATCTGCAATATCTTGTTTTATTGTTCACTTTAACACAGAGGTGTAGTTCTAATCCAGTCATGCTTGATTTATAAAGCACTTCAAAACACACAACAGAGTAAAAAACATAATAATAAATAAACTATGTGAGACAATTGCTAATCAGAATATCCAGTTAATAAACTTACAAAAATGTATACTAAAGGATGTTCTAGATTTTAATAACGACTTGCACTTGAATTTTATGTATAATGAAAAAGTTGAATTAAAAAATTATACCAATATCCTTTCATGCCAGTTTCTGCATAATAACAAGGCTGCAACTGCTCAGCAAAGCTTTAAAAGAAAAAGTTTTTTTTTTTTTAACATTTGCTGAGCTGTGGGATACAATAAATGACCTGAGAAGTACTCTTTTTTTTTTAATGCATTCTTTTTTTAAACATGCTATGCATTTTATCATCTCAACAGCGTTCGATGCTAGGTGAAAACGTTGTCTAACCTGGAAGGGTTCCAAGATATGCAGCTGCAGCTGAGCTTGCAGGAGATTTCATGCTGCAGGGACCACTGGCTCAGGTTCATCACGTCAGGAGCCTCGTAAATCCGCACTACTCCATCCGCAGAGCAGGTGGCCAGCATCAGACCCATGTGTTTAGGAGCAAACTTCACATCAGTCACTGACGTTCTGCTGTCCACCAGTGTGGTTCTCTTGATCTACAGAAGAACAACAAAACCCACTTTGATTAGAACTTGTGTCAAACTTGTGTCCCAGTTTAAACGTGTGTTGAAGTCATACAAACCCAGTGGCTCAACCCTCTCTGTTTGTCATTGGACTCCCCTACAATCTCCTCCCAAACAGCAGCTGTTCTATCAAAGGAGCAGGAAGCTAGAACCTGCCCAAACTCTGGATGGGCCCAGGTCACTCTCCATACTGATCCACTGTGTGTCTGCAAGGAAGACACAAGAGCTTCCCATGAGCAACTCCTCCAATGCCTTTTCACTTTCTCGTGAGTCAATATTGTGAAATACAGAGAAGTAGACAAACGTAGTATATGAGCTGCATTGCACAGCAGGAATGTGTGATTGAAGCCAGCGGGTTGTTTTTGTTTACCTTCCAGCTGGCTGTGCAAAGCCACTCTCCATTCTCACTTTTGTCCCAAACCTGAGAAACAATTCATGTTAGTGGTGCTCTTTTCATTATCTTTCATAAACTAATGACAAACACACACAATGCAGTTTCAAACCATGTCAATTCCTAACAAACTACACGCAGTGGCTGCAGCTGACGCACTTTATTTTCCAATAAACAAACTTAAAAACAACCGTGCCTGACAAACTAGCTTGACACAGCTAATGCTAGCAATACACAGAGCAAATAAAGTGTCATTTGCTTAAAGAAAAACATATCAAATTGAGCTCATCATAAGTCTATCATCCTAAAATAAACCAGTAAGTTCAGTAGAGTTGTTATTAAGATAGCAGAGTGGTTGTGTGTGGGTAATGCTAACATGCTAGCCCCGGAGGTGAACGGAGCCTACCTTGACACTTTGGTCACTGGAGCAAGTCGCCATTCTGCGGCCGTGAAAATCATATGAAACATCGTGAATTAGATCTTTATGGTCTGCCGCGATACTGCGAGCAACAAACATGACTACAACAGCACCGTAACTAGTTGGAGAGATTAGCTAGCAGCAGGCCTGTCATGTGTTTGCTCTGTCTGTGCGACTTTGGCGCTACAGCCGGGGTTGCCAGATAAGAAATGACGAACTGTGCAAATATTGCCTACACGCACCTGAACAGGGCAGGCAGCATTGCAAGAGTCATGTTCTTTGACTTTTCCAATGCTTTTAACACCATAAGACCTGCTCGCAGTAAGCTCCAGGCCATGCAGGTGAAGGACTCGCTGGTCACCTGGATCAGAGACTACCTCACAGATCGACCACAGTATGTGAGGCTGCAGAACACCACCTGGGACACCATATTGAGCAGTACAGGGACTCCTCAGGGTACGGTCCTCTCACCGTTTCTGTTCCTCTACACCTGGAACTTCAGGTACAACTCACAATCCTGCCATCTGCAGAAGTTCTGGATGACTCTGCCGTTGTGGGCTGCATCACTCGTGACTAGGAAGCTGAATACAGAGGTGTAGTGGACAGAACCACCTGCAGCTCAACGCTGGAAAAACTAAAGAGCTGCAGGTGAACTACAGGAAGAAGACCAGCACAACACCCCCCCCCCCCCCAACAACATCAAGGTACTAAGGTGGACACTGGACTGCTACAAGTACCTGGGGGTCCACCTAGACAATAAATGGACTGGACAGATAACACCAACGCCCTCTGAAAGAAAGGGTAGAGTCGCCTTTTTCTTCTGAGGAGACTCAGGTCTTTTAACATCTGCAGGATCATGCTGCAGATGTTTTACCACTCGGTGGTCTTTGCAGGACCATGCTGCAGATGTTTTACCACTCGGTGGTCTCTGAA